TTCTGCAAGGCCCTCTCTCTTTAGAGGTTCCTCCCATCGCTGGTAGGGAGGGACGAGGAGGCCTGCTGTGGGGCAGGCACCTGGGGTCCCCAGAGGCGGCCATCAAGAGCAGCAATACAACCTAGAAGCGAAGGTAGGTAATTCCCTAAGGGACCAACGTCAACCAGCGAGAGACGAGATGGAAAGAACGTGGCCGAGAAATTCCTCTCTCTCTTGCAGATGGAATGTTCCCAGGTGCAACGATGATGTCAGTTGCATCTGGAGGAAGTTCTGGTGCCCAAGCGACCAGGTATGTTTATTTGTCAGGTTTCAGCCATCTCATAACTCACCACCTTGAATTTATTTTTCCTCTTTTTTCCTTCCTTTTTATTTTTTTGCCTTACTTCTCTTTTTTCCCTTCAAATAGTTCTGGGATTACAATTCTCCATAAAGTCTTGACTTGTCATCTTTGCTTCAGGATCTGTTTTCTAGGGAACCCACGCAAAACAAACATTAAAAATTTGTGGGGTAGAACCACCGTTTCTGAACTGTGTGTGAGGGGTGGGGGTATGGGTCTCTGCAATGAATTCACAGGGGCATTGTAGGATATTTAAAAATGTTGAGGGAAAGATACTCAACAGCTGTAATACACCATGCAAACTATTTCTTCAATGCAGTTGACAATTTCAACCCTGGATCATGCTACATTCTTTCAATGACATCATTATTCTGGCAAAGCTGGGTTTTCAGTGGTTGCTCTTATAAAAAGCAATACCATGTAAAAATCAATGTGGAACAGGAAACGAGGGTGGTGGCTTCTAACATGATTTCAAGGTTGGAGAAGTTGTGCTATGCCCATTACTATCCTGTTATTAAGTAATTGTGGCTATTTAAGAATGAAATACAAACATTATTTTTTGGTCAATTTATGTATAATATTTTTTAACAGCTATTAAAGTTGTTGAGACATAAAGAGTTATTAAATTGTTAGCACTTAACTATCTAATATACATAAATATTAGGCTCTTCTTTTGGCCTAGAGATCCCAGGAAAAATAATTAGTAAGGATTCTGCGAACTGAAAGAGTTTGGGAACTTCTGAGGTAGAGGCAAATGCAGCAACTGTAAAGGTTAGGAGGCAGGAATGAACTCAGCCTGGAAACTTTCCTTTTTATTTTTTCCTTTAGTGACAATATTTTCATAAGCTCTATTACCCTTAGGATCTATAAATAGTTAAGATCCTAAGAGTGTGTGTGTGTGTGTGTGTGTGTGTGTGTGTGCTTTATATGCGGTATTTGGTATTTGCTTTAAAAAGATGATTCTGTATTATTTTGTAAAAATACCTGCTCATTACATACATTTTTAAAAAATGTTAGACATAATGTTTTATTAGTGATCTTGCAGTATTATCTAAACTCTAAAACAATTCTTCTTTCTTTAAAACTTCACATTTGAAGTCTTTTTTTGATCAGGCCTAGAATTTAGAGCACTCAAGTTTGGTATTCAAGACTTGGTTAATACCTGTTTTAGAATGAACAGTAATTGATAATAGAAAGATGAGGTGAGAAGCCCGTCTAATGGGACTTGGGTTTGGGTCCAGTGATTGAGGTATTATCTAGGTGAGGTCTGGGATTAGAAGTGGGATGTTTCGAGACACCCAGAAGAGCTCATTTTCTTGTTTATGCTACTCAAAATCATAGGAGGTGCATTTTTAAACCTGAATGTCAGTTTCTTTTCCTGTAATTCAAGTACTTTTGACCAATTTCCAAGGATTCCACTTTTTAGAGTCAAGGTAACTAAGAAGCTGAATAAATAATTACAAGCTTGCTTAGTGACAACAAAAACAAAACAAAAAAGAAAAACAAAAAAGAAAATAAACTGTCTTAAAGGATAACTGATATTTTAAATAACTTTTCAGAAGGCCACCCACAACAAGAATTTATTTGACTTATGCTGGAATTATTGTGCTTATCAGATCTAGGATTTCCCCTCTTTTTGTTTTAAATGCAAGTTCAACGACCATTTTTTACCCTCTTTTGTTTTGCAGCACATTTTGTTGTTACACTCCAAATATACAAATACACACCTGATTGGTCCAGACGGCTTTCCTGTTAGGTTGGGAGACGTTCTGTCTCTTGTTGGTATGTATTGATTCAATCAGGCAAAACCACAAGATTTTAGCTAGGGCTACTCAGCTCTGAGTGTTACTGTTTTCTTACGTATTTTTCTTGAAATATTATACCTATAGCTATCTTCTTTTTTCCTGTAAATGATAGCATACTAAATATGCTGAACCCAGCTTTCTTCTTCCAGTTAACATTTTTGAGATTGTTTTATATTTATATGTGTCAGTTTACCTTATTCTCTTATAGGTCCCAGAGAATTCCTTTGTTTGGATGAATAACAATTTAGGTAATGAATCCCATATTAACATTTAGGTTGTTTTCAGTCTTAAATTTTTTGTGGACACCTACGAGGATATCAGAGGACAAATTCCTGGAAGCAGAAGAGCTGGGTTAATTAGATTGTGAATTTCAAATATTGATCGATATCGCCAAACTTCTCGGCAGAGACACTGTACCAAACAACGCCAACAATTTGAGGCACTGTTGGGTTTCCTCCTCCATCACCATTAGCATCTATTACCAAACTTATTCTAAAAAATGGATCTGATTATAGTTTAAAATTGAATTTCTTTGGTAATGATTGAATCTGAGCATATGTTTATATGCTCAAAGCCATTTATATTTCTTTTCTAAGTCAATAAATACTTAATGATGGCCTACAGTGTGCACAGTTATTATGCTAATTACCGGGGACATCGTGATAAACAACATGCAGCCTCCATGCACATGGGAGAGAGACGGACAAGTGACCAGCCGTTGCAGAGGCTGAAGTTGAGTGCAACGGCGCAACGGGGGCGTGTTGGCGGCACGCCCACCACTGTCCGGAAGGAGATCAATGGAGGCTTCCATTGGGGAGGGACCGGTAAACTGAAATGTGATGGAGGTGCAGTAGTTGTGAGGGGAGTTTTAGGGGTGGGAGGAAGGTGGGAGAGGGGACAACAGACCCATGCCCGAAAGAGGAGCGCAGAGAGAGCAGAGGGCTTCCGGGACTTGTACGGAGCCCAGGTCAGGGCGGCACTATCCTCACTCTAGGAGGGCGCAGTGGGCACGGCTGGCACACCGTCCACTGACGTGGCCGTGGAGATCCGGCAAGAAGTTGTTTCAACTTTGCTTCAGTGACAGTACGACATGATTGGAAGATTTTTAGGCAGAGGATAAGATATCAGCAGTATCTTGGGGGCTGAACCAGAGAACTGATTGTAGAAGGTATGGAGAGCCATGAGGAAGCGGCCCAGTAATTCAGATAAGATGAGGTTTCCTTGATCTTAGCGGTGCACTAGATAGTCGTGGATCTCGTTTCACGTCACTGCCGAAACACCTGGTACAGCCAGTCCCCTCTGAAGGTGGGGTGACCTGCACGGGGGTGAAGAGCAAAGACCTGTAACCAGGCAGCGCGGGTAGGATTCCTGATTTGCCCATTTCTAGTTGCATAAGCCTGGGCCACGGGGGAAGTTAACTCACATTTGAGGGATGCTGTGAAAATGTAGAGATAGGTGTGTAAGGTGTATAGGACAACACTTCTGATATAAAAATGAGGGCTTAATAACCAGTAGCTATTTTTATTATTTTTATTACCTTTCCTCACTCCACTGTGGAAATAACCTGACCCCTGGCTTATTATAATATACATATGAAGACAATTACAGAATGTGGCAGCTGGGAGAGGTTTGAGGTATTTTGTTCAATCCTCTAATTCTAGGCATAAGAAAATAAAGGGAAAGAAATCAAGCAACTTGTTTGGAGTCACATGACGCCAACCTGAAATTCTTTACTGGTTTGGTTCTCTTGCCACACACACACGTGTACGTATATATTTTGGTTACTACACTTAGCCTTAAGTATGGATCTTTCTTGTGATTGTTGGCAGCAGAGTTTTCTTGGGTGGAAGCCCTTATTTGGAAAACTATCTGTCCCACAAACTTGGGAGCACATTGTTCAAAACCCATAGACTTTTTGAATGTCTTCGGAAAAAAAAACCTAGCAGTGAGGTGAGCAGTTAAATCTGCAGAGGCAGTAAGGCAAGGTTGTTTCAGCAGAGGGGTCCCAAGCGGTTGGAAGCCCCTCGCTGGGGGAGCCCACGGTCTCATCCCTCCCACCCGGCACCAGCACCCAGCCCTGGCGCCCTCACTTCTGCCACCTGGATTCTCTCAGCCCTTCTGCTTCACCGAGGGCCCTGTGATCCGATTCAATCGGGTTAACAGCTGTTTAGGGAGAGCCTGCTCTATGTTAGGAAGACACTGGGCTGGGGGATCCAGGCATGAAGTGGTCCCAGCCCTCGCCCTGCGTGAGGAGGCAGGCGCTTGTCTGTATCATGAACTTGAACTCACCCCTCTCAACCCCTTAATTTACACTGCGCACGAATTCCCTTCTAGGTTCGCACCGACCACGCTCCTTCTACATCTCCCAAAGGTTTCCCGCCTACGGCGGCTTCTGCCTGGCTCCCGAGAGCGGTGGTGGAGAGAATCCGCCGCGGCCCTCGGGCACGAGGGCAGCGGGACCAGGGTGGGCACTGCCGCCCACCGGCCGAGCGCTGGGGCCGGCAGCTCGCCCCGTCCCGCTCCCCGCTTCCGGGTGCAGGATCCAGGGCGCGGCGCGCTTTCTTTGGAGTTTCCCTCGGGCGCTCTGCTCCGCAGACGCCCGTGTTCGCGCCCAACGTCCCCAGCGAAGAAGCTCCTCCTTCCCCTTCTGTCTCTCGCTCCTGTAGCCCGAAGCCTCAGGGCAGAGTTCAAGTTCAGCCCCGCCTCGTGTTCCCGATTTAGGAAAGGCCGGGGGGCTGGAGGGCGCGCGTTTACCTAGGGAGGGCGCGGGGTGCAGAGGGAGGTGGCCTCTGATTGGTCGCGGAGGGGGAGTGGAGGCACGGAGTTTCCCACAATGCTCCGGTGCGGTGCAGCCGCGGATGGATGCTGCGGGAAGGGGCTGCCATTTGCCGCCCCTGCCAGCGGCGCGCGGACCTGCTCGCCCTCCCGCAGCGCGGCCGCAGACAGCGCCGTCAGCCGGCCCGGCCTCTGCGGCGGCGCCGCCTCGCCTCCCTCCGCGGCCGCCGGAGCGGTCGCCATGAACCCCAGCTCCTCGGCGGGAGAGGAGAAGGGGGCGACGGGCGGCAGCAGCAGTAGCGGAAGCGGCGCCGGGAGCTGCTGCTTGGGTGCCGAGGGCGGCGCGGACCCGCGGGGCGCGGGGGCCGCTGCCCTGGAGGAGCCCGGGGCAGCCGGCCCGAAAGAGAAGGACGAGGCGCTGGAGGAGAAGCTGAGGAACTTAACTTTCCGGAAGCAGGTCTCTTACAGGTAGGCGCGGGAGCCCGGCACCGGAGCCAGGTGCCGCCGCGGGGCGTGAGACCCGCTCTTCTCCCGCGGAGGGGCGCTGCCACGGAGTTGGGCACCTGGCGCGCCCTCGCTCTCACTCGCTCGCTCTCAGCCCCCGCCCTCCACCTCCCTCTTCTGGGGATGTGCTCTCCTGTCATCCCATCATTCTGGGCTGGAGGGCAGCTACGTGCCTGGTTTCCTCGTGACAGGAGAGAAGACTGAGTCCCTGAGGTCAGAACAAGAAGAAAAATGCGCGCGCGTACGTGGGGCGGGGGGTGGGGTGGTTCCCACACGCAGAGATGCCTGGTTTTCTTGAGAGAAGTCCTCAAAGTTGTCCTTAAGCCGGTGTCATCTTCAACCGCTCCCCCTACCTTCCAGATTTTGCTGGCGCTAACGTGATACTTGACATCACCTGAGGGGCAGGGAAGAACAACTCTATACTGAAGAGAAGTCCTTCTGGAAGTTCGATCTGCCTAGAAATCCCCCATAAAGGAAGAGTCCGTGTGGATCATGCCTGTAGATACCCAGCTGCCGATGGGGTTACACGTACACGTGCTCTCTCCTTCTCCACTACGTGTGCCCAGAGAGACGACTTGGGGAGCCCGCTGGCAAGCTGGGAGGGAGGCGGGAATGGGGCCGTGCTTGCCCCTGAGGATGGCTGTACTCGTGAGACAGGGACAGTGTGGGGTAAATGGCCACCACATTACGATAAAGGAGTCCCCCAAACAATTGTGTCAGGATCCAGAAATGAGTAATGAGGATGCAGTAGGTTCTCTGCCCTATACCCCCCGCCCCCAAGCCCCAGGCAGAATGAAAGATATTGGGAGGTTTGGAAAATTTCAGAGACTATACCCTTACTGCTGGTTAATTTCAAAAGTCAAGGTGATAAGCATAGAATTTCAAAGATGTGTACTTGCTGGGGCTGGGAGTATATCTTGAAAAGAGGTCAGTGAAAGCATTCTTATGACCCTACTCTTTTTGAGTTAGCAGTCCTTTCCAGAAAACCATATAAAGTATTAAGCCTGTCATACCATGTGCTGTTATGTAAGCAAAAGCAGATGACAGAGGTGTGTGGGTTTGTGAGGGTGTGTGTTGTATTTATGGGCTATGCATGTGAATCACAGGGATCCCCATAGGCATTGCCTGGTCTGGATGCCCCAGTCATGAGGGCATTTGTCCTGCGCCTAAGTGGCGGCTTCTGACGACTCTGAAAACGGTCTTCCCGGTGAGGTTCTTGCCCCCCGGGTCTCCCGAGTCCATTTTGTTCGCTGTGCATTGAGGTAGTTTCCCACCAGACTTGCTGTTTTAGTTGCTCCGGTAGATCAGGACCAACTGGATCTTTCTCTTTATATTTCTGGTTTCTAAAATTAGACAGGCGGTGGAGAGCGGAGTAGCTCTAGGGAGCTGCGCTGGGGCACAGGCAGTTCTGCTCCCCAGTTATGATGGCCCGCCTGGCCCTTCGGGGAACAGGGGCTGCATTCAGCCTATTTAGGAACTGTCCCTGGGCAGGGGGGCGGTGATTACGTGGAGCACACTGTGGGTCTGGGCTTCTGTGTCACTGGTTTCCATCAGCCTCCTGACCGGGTACGGCTACAAAGCCAGAGTTTGCAAGGGAAATCACCCAGCTTGCCTCTTGGCAGCGGTCGTTCTCGAGCCTCCCTCCTGGGAATGGGTACCGTGCACGGCCTCGGCTTTCGGGGCTGCATGGTCACACGTGAGTGTGCAAGTGCGCGTACATGCAAACGTAGACCTGGACCCAGACACGGCATTTTTCTATGGAGGGGTAGACTCCTCTGTAGAAAATAGATTCTACTTTGTGAACATCATTTCCTTTTAAATAAGGCTGTCAGGTCTCCAATCCAGCAATCCACCCGCATCAGCATCACCTCAGGTGGCTGGTTAAAAATGCCCGCCACCCCAGACTTCCAAAATCAAACTCTCTGTGGACTGGGAATTTTTAACAGGCTCCTCTGGCAAGGCATCTATACACTAATATCTGAGTATTGCTGCCTCCCCCCGACCCCCCACTTAAAGGCTAAACAGTTGATCTTTGAACCCATAAGCCGTGCCCAGCCAAACAAGACCAGGGGGTCCCAAAGTCAGGGGAAAGACAGAGAAAAGGTAGGTGATTTCATCTGGCACACGTTTGTTCTGGGTAATCTGGAAAGTGTCCCCATTTTCATTATTATTATTGCTTTTAGAGTCATGGCCAGTGGCCTACCCACTCCCTGGCGCCCATTCTTCAGGCCTCGGGGCAGCTGGGTCAGGTTATTTTGATGGTGGGTTAGAATGGTCCGTAAGGAAGAAGTAGCGCTGGCTGGAGTCAGGCCTTGGCTCCTCAGTGAGGACCACCGCCTCCGCCTGGGCCATCTGAGGACAGCGGCCGCTAGGAGTTAATGGAAGGAGTAGGAAGACCTCACAGAGAGGAGCCTAAGCAAAAGGGTTCAGTTAGAGTGTGAAGTATGGCTGCTTGTGTAAGGGGGATCATTTAAGGTGGGGAAGAGGAAACTTGCAGGTAGGTCAAAAATATCTTTTGAAGAACATGGATATTTGCAGAATGACACTTGACAGGAAAGAAGGGGGCTTTGGGAGAGGGTGTGCGTGTGCGGGTGTGTAGGGGGTCTCATCTGCTCCTTCTGTTGCTAAGGAACATATAATCTAGGGTTTAAAAATAAATGAGGAGTGGGTGGGCATATGCAGTGACTCCTGTCTTTTTAGGAACCAGAGCCCTTTACAAAAAGCCTTTAAATAACCGTTTCTGGAGGCAGATTATTCATTTTGCTTGACTTTTACTTTGTTAAGCAAAATAAACCCCTTTATATGTACCCCTTGGTTTCCCCTCATTATCTTTTCTTTCTTGGCTTTTTTTTGGGGGGAGGGAAGCCATTTTTTTTTTCCCCACGAGAATTTTTCTTTTATTTCAGATTCTGCTCCTCTAGAGCAAATAGTCTCTGTAGACTGTAAAGCTGAAGGTTTTTAGAAGGCAGTGCAAATGAGCTGGTACTTTTCCCTTAAAATTACTACTTCCTTTTTCTTTGCAAATTATGGTGCTGCAACAGATACGTATGTGTGGGATTTTTTAAAACCACTCTAAGAATTCCCATTTAAGTCAGTAATATTAAAAAAAAAATCTTTTAGAGACGCACAGGGGAGGGGAAGGAGAGATGGCTGATGTTTATTGTCTTTCATGTACCAGGTACTGTGCTAAGTGCTATTGCATATTGTCATATTTACTCTTCCTGACAGTCCTAGGCTGTGCTATGATTATTTCTGTTTTATAGAAAATGAACTTGAGGCTTAGAGCTTGGGTAGGAGGCAGACTTTAAACCCAGACCTGACTCTAAATGACTTTCTTTTTAGACCCTATCATGCTTCCCTAAACATTCATTTTTGGTTTGAACTCTCTCCATATGTGTGCAAGTGTATGCTTGCGTGTGTGTAATATAGTATGCACACTCTTCTGCAATATACATCAGGCCAGTCTGTATTATATCTTGTATACTTTATTCTTTGGTCTGTGTCCCTTGGGCGCTATCATTTTAAGGAACTCCTCTGCTCTTTCAGAAATAAAAATGAATATAAATTCATGATCATCAGAAAAGAGATTGGTTTTGCTTCTGAGAACAAAACCAACTACTTGACACCTGCCATCTCTTGAAAGAGACCTGTCTTAGAGTTTTATCTGCCTTCTAGTAAAAATCACACAACTGTTGTGTAGATGAACCTAGATCCAGTGAGGAGCTAGCCTGTCTGTGCTTCCTGCAGCCCCACAGAGTGAATGATGCAGTGGGATTTTGCCTGAAGGAGGCCTGGGCAGTTGCCATTACTTATGACATGTTGATGTCTGTATTTCAGTGTTTCTACTTATAAACTAGGATGGTGAGACCCGACCCTCCTTAAAGGGAGTTTTTGGTATGAGATAAAAGTAGCAGCAAGGAGTATTAGACTTCTTAGATTAGGCAACTGGGTACAAAAGTATCTGTTATTTTTTTATAGGTTGATGATAAGAACATAGTATTTCCATTTGTGTTTTGTTCTGCAAAGCAAGTTTATGTGATTAGAAGAAAGACAGTTTGGATGTTGAAAGCCAAGTAGGCTGGCATAGACATTGTTCTCCTTTGCACTGAAATCAATAGTGTGCAGGGTAAGTTTTCTTCTGAATATAAATATGCAGCATCCTCCTTTGTAAATCAATTTTATGTTTTCATCTGATATTTAGACTTTAGGATCAGATAAGAACTTTGGTTCCAAGTTAATGCTTCCTTCCTCAATAATTACTTCGGCCTCGGCTGGTTATGCAGTTGGTCAGAGCGTTGTCCTGTACACCAAAGGGTTGTAGGTTTGATCCCCTGTTGGGGCACACACAGGAGGTACCTGATCGATGTTTCACTGTCACATCGATGTCTGTCTGCCTGTCTGCCTGTCTCTCTCCCATTCCTCTCTAAAATCAATAAACATATCCTCCGGGGAGGATTAAAAAATATACATATAATTACTTAGGACTTGGCTAAGTGTAGACTTCCTCAGTCAAGACACATAACAGGTGATTGCGCTTGAACCACTGTCCAGAGCACTTAATCTGCTCTAAAGGACTTTTAGGGGCTTGGTTTTTACGTGGACCTATGACAGCATTGGATCCTGTGGAACCAGGGGATGGAGGAATTGAAGGGAGCTTTGCTGGTGTTCGGTTTTCCTGCGGCCACAGCGACATTGCTACCTAGGGCCAAATTAATTTAGACTAGAGCTAGCTTTTTGGAACCCTTTCCTTTGCAATCTGAGAAAATGAGGACTCCTGGTGAGGGCCCAGGCTGGCCGCACCATCCGTGGCCTTCGGGGCCGGTGTCTGGGCTACCCAGTCCCTATTCAGCCCTGAGGCGTCCTTGAAGTGGGCTCAGGCACGTGCTCCGTAAGATGGGAAGCGTCTGGAAGGACCAGTGCGTACACGTTGGGCTGTGACATTTGCTTTCTTACATGATTTTGCA